GATTTAATAGAATAGATTACCAATGTCCTTATTAGTCTCTTCGCCTTCTGGGATACTGATTATCCCGATGTCTGGATGTTTAATGGTATCTAATATTTCTTGTATGTTATTCTCATTTTAGGCGATTATTTTCTCAGTCTTTGTGGTAGATTTTACTAGTCCAGTAATTCTGTCTTCTACATCTGAAATTCAATTTTCTATAAGATCTAGTCTGCTTTTAATACTTTCAAAGGAGGTTTTTGACTTCCTGTATTATAGCCTTCATCTCCGACCATTCCATCTGATTCTTTTTTATGGTGCGTATTTCCTCTTTCTGTTCTCACAAGAACTTCCTCACCTCCTGTAACTTATCAGCTTTTTTCTGCTGCTGTTCATTGTCTCTCTTCTCTTCCATCTCTGTTAGCTCTGTCAGTATGAATATTCTAAATTCTTTATCAGACATTTCCATGAGTTCCATTGTACTGTCTATGGATGAAAAGGAGTTATTCTTTTTCCTTGGGGGAGAGATATTTTCTTGGTTTCTCATAATTCTTGTGCCTCTGTGGTGATTTCTAGTCATCAGATGGGTTATTCATTTCTTCCAAATTTCTAGAAGTTCATACTGAGTGATCAGAGGAGCATAGGAGGAGGTGATCTGCAAATTCCTTGGCATTCCATTTTTCTCCTTTTGTGTCACAGATTCGGTGGGAATTGAGGAATATAAGGACTCTAATAGTATTTGAATGCTTGGCTACGTTTCACTTAGACCTGTTTAGACACTCCGTATGTGGAGATTGAGCAGCAAAGTGATAAGGTAGAAGAAAAAGTATAAGAAAACAGAGATAAAGAGAAAGAAAGAAGAGAAAAAAGAATAAAGCAAACAAACAAAAATGTATTTCTTTGTTAATTTTAAAAACAAAAACTGAAAACCACTCACTGCACAAAAGCACAGCTCTCATGGCAGACTCAGTCTTCTTCTGGCCTACCCTTTATGCTTTTCATAGATGGGAGGGGGGAAGGGAAGGGGACTATTACCAAGATAAAGGAGGATGTCAGAGCCAAGAAAATACTTTACCTTAAGAAGTTTAAAAATAAAGAAAAATTTAAAAAATGAAAAGACAGAAACAGAGAGACAGAAAGAGACAGAGAGAAAAGGACAGAGGAGGCTCTACCTGGGTGCTATCTAAGTAGAACATCTTCATTACTTTTATCCCTGAAAGCACTAGATCTCAGCTCTCATGGCAGACTCAGTCTTCTTCTCAAAAGTTTACACAGACTTTTATAGTTGTCTCACCTATACCTGATCTGACTGGAGTTTCCTTTACAGAGTCATGATTTTTTTCCAATGAAAAACCTAGCAATTATCTTTTTTTAATGAATTTTTTATGTTACCTTCATATTTCATTGATTTATAATATATTTAGGTCCAATGCCAGTCTTTATTAATGCACAAAACTGCCATAAATGACATTTTATATGAGTACAATTTGGTGAGTGGTGGTAATAGAAGTACTAAGTTTAGTAAGATAATAGGCCTGGAACAGGCTCTGTTTTATGAACATCAAAATATCTTACAGGGGGTATTTGTTCATACTGTGGTTAAAGTGGGGTTAGTTAAGAGATAGTGGGGAAAGGAAAGATGGAAAGTTAAATTCATAAAATGGTATTTTTTGAGGAGATCCTAACCCCAAACTCCTTTTTCCCAGAAACCTCCTACCAAAACAGCTGAACCTCAGTCTCCTCAGCTATAAAATGATTTTTAAAATAATAATATACCTACTACCCATTTTGCCTACCTCGGAGAATTGTGCAAGGGATTAAATGATACAATGTTGGAAAGGTACTTTTAATATTAAATTGTTATGCCCATGTTAGTATTTAGTTGGGGCACTAAGAATAAGAATTACCATAATAGTAATAATTTTAGGCAATCTGATCCACTCTATCCTTCTCTTGTACATTAATGTCACCCAAATGAAACTGAGTATTTTATTTTTGTTTATTTAGAGTCATTTTCTGTGTGACTATATAGTCTTTAGTTCATAGAGCAATATCTCTTTGATTTTTATATAGAGAGAAACCAAAAAGAAAAGAACTTAAAAATAGATATTTCCCCAGGCAACTAAACTAGTTAGCTAGTCCTCCTTCTTTAAACACAAATAACCCTAATTTGGTGGAAGCCACAGAAAAGTTTTTTTTAAAAATCATGAAAACATGAGTTTGTATTACTTTGCATTGCATTCTATTTTTTTATAAACCACTGATTATGAAAAATTGTTTGTATCCAGAATATTTTCAATCATAGTTTGATAATTACTTGTTTGCACAAGAGACACACAGTCCTTTGGAAACCTCTTTTTCCTCCAAATTATGGATTCTTGGGACTAATAAACAATTTTACTGAAGGGATCAGCCCAGTTAGCAGGACAGTAGTGATGATTTGGGTTGTATTCGGTTAGATAGCATGCTAGTTTGAATTACCTACAATTAGTGCTGTTCTACCATATTATCTGTAAGACAGCATTTTCCTTCCTTGCATTTTCTGCCTCTTTCATATCATCATTAGCACCCCGATAAAGACACTCTAAAAAGCTGTTCAGGAAAAATAATTTGAGAATGAACTTGTACTCTTAGAAACAACTACATTTGCAGTTCTCCCCACCTCATATTCAAAAGCATCCACACTTATCTGGTCTCTTTTTCTACTTTCTATTCAAAGAGGGAAAATGTATTCTGTGTGTAAAAATAAGCTATTGTATCTCAGAAAGGAGATGGGATGCTAATTAAGGGTTGTTTGAATGTACAAGTCACACTGCATTGTCTACCGGGAGCTTGCTGCCAATTGCTTTTTTGGTAAAGAGTCAAGAAAAACATTCAAGAGGGCCCCGGCAAGCCTTGGTGAGAAGTGAGCAGCCCTTTTACTTATCAAGTAGGTGCCGAATAAGTATTGGTAGGAGTCAGGGTACAAGCAGTAAGCTCCTGCCTCACAGCTTTTTCTCCTGGTTTCAAGAGCAACTTTGCTAAAGTGGGACCTGCTGTTCAGGTCTGATCGTGGACAATGGGGCATGAATGCCAGCCTGTCGGACTGCTGAGAGCCTCTTTCTTTATTCAATATCTTTTTCAAGATTCTTTGTCGCTCTTCTGGGACTCATCTGAGAGGCATAAGTTTTAAGATACACAATAGCTCGGGTCTTACAGCAAAATAATTGATGCTCCACTGAAAGAAACCAGGCAAATTGGTTAGTATGATGACCTTTGAAAACTGGAAAAATGCTAGACATTTGGCTGGCAACTTGTACATCAGAGGGAAATATGCTGCTTTATTTTGAAAAGGTTTCTTAATGTTCATGCTTAATTAGCCACAGTAAATTGTTAGTTTGATTGTCTAATAGTCTTAGGTGGCATGTTAATAAAGCTGAAACAATTTACTATGTTTGGAAAAGGATCAAAATGTGGAGGATACAAATGTGTTTTTATTGTAATGAATGAAAGAAACTGTGATTTTACTAGGTCAAGTGGTATTCTTCGCTGCCGTAGCATGTGGAGTAGCTTAGTATAATCAAACCCTGAATGTGTATTTCTGATAGGTTACATACCTTTTCCTCTAGTTCTGTCATTCTGTGATGCTTTCACTGCTCTTTTGAATCTGCAAGTATTTACATATTTTTAAGTCTATTCATATGCCCCTGATATTTATACGAAAAACAAGTTTCCTGGATACTAAAAGGTCTCAACTGAGGGCAACAAGTAAAAGGGTGTGTGCATGTGTATGTGAGTGTGTGTGTGAGTGTGTTTGAGATAAAATGATAAATACTACTTTAAAAATATTGCTAAAATTAACAGTCTCTCTGGACATCCAAAATAAAATATCAGTTTTGCCCTATCCATTCTTTGATAGCATAATATGTGGTGGAGAAAAATGAATAATTCTTTTACAATTGCTTAAAAAACAAAATTATATGAGCTTATATGTAAACTTGAAGGTCATGGTGCAGTTTTCTTTTAATAATCGTATGTGGGCATCATAGTTATAATAAAATAATATTAAATACATAAAAATCTAATTACTTGAGATCAAAAACCTATCTATCACTCAATAGTTTTAAAGTGTAATAATATGTTTTAAGTACATACTGTATGCTCAACTTTAATGCTAAATACTTTTCATGTATTAAAGTCATTAGGAACTGAGGCCAGAGAGGTTAAGGCTCTTTCTCATGGCTTCACAGCTAAGGAGTGGTAGAACCAAAATCTGAACCCAAGTCTCTGAGCCCAGAGCCTGTGCCTTAACCATCATGCTATGTGGCCTTGCTTGCAGTATAATTGTTATCACTCTTACTAAGCTCCTCCAAAAAAATCCGTTATTAAAAAAAATTTTAGTAAATATTTTTGTAAATTTATTTCAATTGATTCCATTGGTGAAAGAAACCATTGGTTTTGAAACATATAACGCAATAGATGATAAATGGTCATAAAATCAATTGCCTTACATACATAGAACTGTGTTCTACGTCATCTAACAAATTACTTCTATTAGAGATAGTTTGATTAGACACAGCAGGTTGAAGAAGCAGGAAAATGTAACTTGCCTCCATCATCATGGAGGAACATTCTTTTTATTTCTAGGTATCACATGATAAACTCTAATACTTGGATCTCATTTTCTTAATTGTTCATTTCTTCATTTAGTTCCTAATTAGTTAATTTAGTTCTCTATGAAATTTTGGGAAATTTTTTTCTTCTTTATTTACTTATTATGTTGGTTTTAGCAGCCATGTTTGATAAGCACATGTATAAGTTGATACTTTAGAAAAGTTAGAGAGATCTAATTTACATACCATAACATTTACCCATTTAAAATATACAATTCAATGGTTTTAGTACATATATAAAGTTATAGACATTGATATTTCTTAAAATTTATTAAATAAATTTCTTCTGAGAGACTTGATGTTTGAAAAATACTCCAGGGCTAATAAAAGCCATTAATATTTACTGTGTTTTTCTTTCCCCTTCCCCAGAAATGTGTACTATACTGGCCAGAAAAGAGAGGGATATATGGGAAAGTCGAAGTTCTGGTTATCAGTGTAAATGAATGTGATAATTACACTGTTCGAAACCTTGTCTTAAAGGTAAGATCAAGTAGCTATAGCTATCTACAATGTTAAAGGATTACATTTATACTTTGAAATTATTTATCCTAAGTATTACAGATTTGATTTAAATAGATTAAATAATGTCAGGATTAGGATTAAAGAGAAACTATACTCATTCCCTCGGGTATTTCTTTGTTATAAGCCACTATTAGTATGTGGAATAATTAAATGAATACAAGTACTGAGGAGTAAGAAAATTCATTATGTAGGATGTTGTGATCTTCTAATTGCATTAATAAAACATCTCTGATTTAACCTTTCAGCCTATAACTAAAGGCTGTTCTGGGAACTTTTTTTTTTTCTTTTTGGTCGTTTCGGTCTAAGTAGCTTTAAGCAAGGCCTGAAAACTGTGAAAGAGAAAATCTGCACTTGTGGGTGTCTGTGGGAGGCAAGACAAGCCTGAAGTGTTGATGAGATCTTCAGAAACTTAGAGACACAGTAATTTATAGGGACTTTCCCCGGATCAGATTATGTCATCTAAAAATTATTTAAACTCAAGGGCAGCAGATGCTGGAGAATGTTGCTATGGTATTATTTTTACTTCTGGAAAATAATCACCAAAAGATTTCAGTCCTATCTGCATGCAGCCTCACTCCTGGGTTGGAATCATCACAAAGAAGAGAGTGAAAACAGAACTGCAGTGATGGTTTCTATTCAGATGTCTGAGATAAGAAGGCCCTCGATCAAAATCTAGTTTCAACACATGTCCTTGAGTGCCTAGTCCCTGTCAGGCCCCCACCAGGGCACTGGGTTTTCTGATCTGGCTCCTTTATCATTGAGACTCCTCACTGCTGTTAAATACTGGGATTAGGGGAGGAGGTATCATAGTAACACAACTGAAACGACGTAGGAAGGTGCTCAGCTCCCACCCTAGAACCTCCCTGCACACTCCAGAACACAAGTGCATGTGTCCTGATCCAGGCTGGCTGAGGCTGAGGTGGATCAAGGCATGAAGATCCCTGTTACAGTGTCTCTCTTTGACCACCACCCCTGCCTTTCTCTCTTAAATATACATGAAAGAAAAAAATGGATGGATGACCCTATAGCCTGGTGGTTAAGGGAGCTGGATTCCACATGGCCAGCTGTAGTTTGAATTCCAGCTCCAGTGGCATGAAAAGCACTATAGGCACATGTGCCAGCATGCTCCAAATCCTGAAAGGATGGAGAAACAGAAGAGAAGGGATTGCAGCTTGACCATGCCTCATAGGGAAGGGCTTTCTCCCTCTCTCTCTCTATCTCTTTTTCTCTCTGGGAAATGCATATACCTTCTGACAAGTAAAAAAATATATATATTGGAATTGGGGGCAAGTATAGAAGTACTAGCATGACTGTAATGAAATTAAGTGTTCTTCTATTGGTTAATGTGTTTATAACAACCTGTCAGGAATGTTCATAAAGCAGGAAACACAATATGTATCATACTTTCTTGGTTACATTTTCTCCTATCATTTTGTTTATTATAAACAATTTAACCATATATTTAGTTTATGTTACATTATTTCTGTTATGTAATAGATCTCATTTCCTAAAGTCAAGACTTTGAGATCAGGATATTTATAATCAACTTTTCTCAAGGTCTTCAAAACTCTTCTAGATTTTTCCCACCTAAAAATAAGTTGCCAACAAAAAAGGGAGTGGTAGGAGGCATTAAGTATTGTGGTTTGGATGCATTTAGTTCCAGTGGTGAATAAGGCATTTGGTGGCTACTGCTATTTTCAGCAAGGAAGTCACACCCAACATGTGAAGCATTACTGGTACACCTCATGGCCCGATCACAAGACTCCAGACAGTGCCCAGCCTCTTCTACAGCTCATGCTGGATGTAGAAGAAGACACACTTGCTTCTGAAGGCCGAGGGCCCGTGGTGGTCCACTGCAGGTAAGGCATGAACTTGAACTGTTCTTTCTACCTAAGCAACTGTCCATTCTTTGTCAAGTCATAGAACAGGTAGAACTAAGGTTTTGCCTCCTGGATGTGACATCATTGTTATAAACATTTATTGAAATTGATTAACTTTCTAATATTTGAGTCTTACACAAGATGATGCTTATAGAAATAAGGTCACATTCTTAGACCATTTTCAGCCAACAACAATTACACAGTGGACAAAGTACAAGCTCTTGGGACCAGCAGGTAATATGGTGGTTGAGGCTCTGGACTCCCACATGGCTGACTGTGGTTTGAGTCCCGGATTTGGCAGCTTGCTTTCTCACTTTCTCTCTTCCTCTCACTCTCTCTCTTTCTCTTCCATGAGCATGGATTCTCTATAGCAAAATTTTAAAAATAATAATAAAGAAAGAAAATTAAATAAGTAACCCTTTAGAAAAATACAAGTTCTTAGTAAATGGCTCAATGAACAGGAGTCCTTATTCAGTCATATTCCTTAAAACTTGATTCATTTGGTTTCATCAGTCTCATCCAAGAGGTCTTTAAACAGTCACGGAAAATATGTATTACAAAAAAAAATTTTTAAAAAACTATGCAAGGGTTTCAAAAATTTCTTACACCAAAATAAATTCCTTTAATTCCATTTCCACATATTTTATGAAGTTCCCTCATGTAATTAGGAATTACGGATGCCTCTCTTGAAATTGTTCATGCCTTCCTTGTTGTTTCAAGATGGCACCTGAACTCTGCTTATGTTGTATCTAGATAACATTTATTATTATTGGGCCAAATTTGATGAAAACCAGTCAACTATTTGAAGAGTTATGAAAAACATGGAAACAAATTTATGAAATGAGGAGTAGGCAAGTGGTTGTTTGCCAAAAGGAAAATCAAGTGCTGTTTCCAGAACATGAAGTACTGGCGGCCTGGCTGACACTAGCCACAGACATCCAGAGTAGTTCCCTCCCTTAACGTCAACTTAGAGCTCTCCTCCAACGAATACTCTTGCCCCTTTTAGTGAGACCAAAGTAAAGCAAGCATTTTTAAAAGTCATTTATACAACCATTTATTCTCCATATTTCCTCAAAATAATTTGTATTGCTTTGTTTAATGCTATAAGTCTCTTAAGATAACTTTTAATAATGTATTTACTACATAAAATGTACTATTTTAGATTCTAATTTTAGAAGTAAAATGTCTGTTTAGCCAAAGGTGGCTAGCGTTATCTTAAATTAGCTTGGAGGGAAGGAAAAACAACTTATCTGACTATGCCTTAGGGCTGGAACTGTTCCCCACCCCAAATCACTAAACACTCAGGATATCGAGAGTGAACTAGCCATTTCCCCTATAAAACCAGCTCCCTTTCTGATCGCTATTTCTAACAATGAGATCGTCTTTTTTCCAGCTTTTCAGCATCCACTGTGGACCATTATCTTTAGCTCTTCTTTTAACTCTAGCCTTAGTATCTAATCAGTCACCAGATTGGCTTTCCCTTCAAAGCTTCTCCCATAATCACCACTTCCTGTCCAACCATCATAGTCCAGGCCCTTACAACCTCATCCTTTAGTTTAGAAGTAGTTGGCTAATTGCACATTGAGACCTTAATCCCCCTGGCCCTTGTGCCCCTGTGGCCCTTGCATTTCTCTTGGATGATGTTCACAAAACTTCTTTCCACATGGAGTCCTTGCTCAAAACTTGTCAGTGGCTTCCCATTGCCTAGAGCAAATGTTTTTAGCTTCAAGTCTAGGGATAAACTACAGGGGTTAGTAAACTCCCTGAAATTATTTGAACAAATTTGATTATATAAGCATATTTTACTTTTTCTGGGAAGCAAAAATTCAGTTTGTATCAAATTCTGAAAAAAAAAAAAAAAAAGGTTAAGGAAAACAGAGAATGGGGCCAACCTGTGGCCTGGTGTTTGGGGTAGCTGGATCCAATGTGGTCAACCATGTGATTCAAGATCTGGACCCAGTGACTTAAGAAATACCCTAGGAATATGTGTGTGCATGTCCCAAATCTTATACAGATGGAGAGAGAGGAGATTGCAGCATGACCATGTTCTATGTGTGTGTCAGGGAGGGATTGGGGGTGTTTTCTCCTTCTCTCTTTCTATCTCCTGTCTCTGCCTCTCTCTGGAGAACACACATGCCCTCTGGCAAATTAAAAAAAAAAAAAAGTAGAAGATGAGCTCAAAAATGAGTATTCTACACAGAACAATGGTATAAGGAAATACATGATTTAGCCTTCCATAGGTGATCCCAGGGTACCTTCCCAGTCTTATTTCCCACTGCTCCACTAATTCTCTTCAAGCCAAGCTAGTGCATTTATTGTCAAAAGTCACATATTCTATATTTAAATGCGCTGAATAAAATGAGTCCTAAAATCATATATTTCCTTATACCATGGTCATATGTAGAATATTCTCTCTCATTCGTAATGGTCAAAATGCCTGTTATCCATAGGCAAATCCAATTTGCACAATTAAAAAAACTCCAGATACACATTTAAACCAAAAAGAGTCAGTTTCTCTTCTGAATTTTTATGCATTTACATTCAATAGGAAACAAGCATCTAATATTAGAAATAAGTGCTACAAGGAGAGCAATTAATTCCCACCATCAGGATTGAAGAGCGCCTCTAAAAATTGAAATTATATTGAACTGAGTTCTAAAAAATCATCCAGGGTGTGGTTGTGAGTGAGTGTACTTTAATTCTTGTCAGAGGGCATGTTTTCTCACTGGAAAGAGAATGGGGGTGGTTTGAAAGTAACCCCTTAAGGAGTGGTCACACTGAAATCCCTTCTCCTCCATCTCTCCCTCCTCTCAGGATTTTGGGCACCCACACACATATGTCTGGCAGGTTTCTCAAGCTGCTGGATCTGGGACTCTAATCAAACAGTTGGTTGGCCACGTGGAATCCAGACCCCTTAACCACCACAATGGGCAGGCCTGTTTGTCATTTGTTTTTTTCATTTTTTGAAGAGGTTTTTGCTATAGGGTGCGTGCGCTCGCCAGACAGAGAGAGACAGAGAGACAGAAAGCAAGTCCTCACCCCCAGAGGAGATGGCCACACCGCAATCCCTTCTCCTCCATTCTCCTCTCTCAGGATCTTGGGCACGCACGCACACGCGCCCAGCGTGAGGTTAAATCACTGGGTCCGGGACTCGAACTGCAGTCGACTGTGAGAGTCCAGCTACATAGCCATTACGCTAACTGCTGGTCCCGGCCTGTTTGTCATTTTAAAAGGTGGTAAGGAAGGCATTTTAAAAAAAAACTATTGGGACCAGTAGATGGTGTAATGATTACATCACTGGACTTTCACATAGTCAACTATGGTTCAAGTCCTGGACCTGGCAGCTTGAAACTCACACGAGGTGCATGTGCATGTGTGCCCAAAGTCCCAACAGGAGAATGGAGAAGGAACTGTGGCTTGGCCATCCCACAAGGAGGGTGTTTCCTTGTTTTCTCTCTCTCTCTCTCTCTCTCTGTCTGTCTTTCCAGCAAGCACACACGCCCTATAGCAAAAATCTCTCCACCACCCAAAAAAATTATTAGTATAAAAAAGAAAATTGAAAAATAAAAAGCATCTTTTTCTGTCACTCACGTAAATGAGGAGAATGGCATTTAGGGTACAAAGAAGATAGCAAACAGCAAAAAGACATAAAGCCTCAAAGTTAGTTGCATTCAGATATTGCTAGATCACACATACCTTGGTATGGGGGTAAGACGTTATGCTATAACGAATGGGAGCCATCTACACTTTTTGAGCAAGGAGTGATGTAATTAAGCTCTTATTTTAGAAAGATGAACCTAGCAGCTGTGTGTACCATGAATTAGTCCAGGAAAAGACTTGAGAATCAGAAACCATAATGAAATCATTGCTGATCTTGAAAGATGTTGAAAACGTGAGTACAGTCTTTAGAAAGGGAAAGCATGCATCCCAAAGGCTCAGTTGAAATGGAAAATAGAAGAATTGGTAACAGATTGGATGTAGGAGGTGAGAGAGGGGGAGATGTTGAATATGGCTCTAAGATTTCTAGGCTGGAAAACTTGTGGCTGACTGGTAATGCCATTGAGGGAAAAGATAATTAATTCTCTTTCAGACACATTGAATTAAAATAATCAAACTGAAGCAAGTGCAAAATAGTAATATCAAGAAATCCAGCTAGGAAATGGGAAGTCCAATGTAGAATTTAGGAGAAATTCAGTGCATTTAAATATAGATTTGAGATAAATTTATATGAAGATTTTTAGTGGTTAAAATTGCAGAGAGAGATTTGTTGGGTTGATTTTATGGACATATGTCTAAAGCAAATGAATATGTAAACTGCCCAAGACAAACAGTGTTTCTATTCAATTATCATCTCTATATAAAGGACTTGAAAATATGTGCCTCTGGCCACATCCTCTGGGTAAATGAAAATGAATCTTCAGTTATTTTCTAGACTTCTCAACATCAGAATATCTAAGACCAAGCCCCACCTCCACGTCTCTCCCTCAAGTCAGTCCCTTGAGGGACTTTTCCAGAAATCCCTTTTGACTCAAGTGGCACCATAATGCTTCCCACTCTCTAAGGCTAGTCATCTTTGATTTTTAACTTTTCTCATTCATCAACTTCATCTCCAGACATATCTATGATTAGTCTAGATCTTTCCCCTTCTTTCTACTGCTCTACCTTTCCTAAATCCAGGCTTCTTTCCTGAACAAGTACAAAGCCTTTTCACTACTCTTCCCATCCATCATTCCCTCCATTCACTCATAACCAAATACATAATACAGGTTTATAATACCAAATACACAAGTCATTATTACTATTATTATTAACTGTTGTTTAGACTTGAAAGTACCATTTCAAAAGAATTTATTTTGTATTCATCAGTTTTTTCCTTTTATTCCTTTTTTCTTTTTCAGTGCAGGGATAGGTAGAACCGGGTGCTTTATTGCTACAACCATTGGCTGTCAACAGTTGAAAGAAGAAGGAGTTGTTGATGCACTAAGCATTGTCTGCCAGCTTCGTGTAGACAGGTGAGTGTCCAAGGGATTGTGTTACAGAGACCTCACTCAGAGCTACAATCTTGGTCACAGCCTGGTCTGATCAGCCTGGCTTTATGCAAACATTGTAGGCTCTGAGATTCTAAATTTTTATAGAGATTTAGAGATTTTTGAAAAATGTTTATGAATATGTGGTATATTTTTTTAAAATGGAATGAAGTGTTATATGCAACAGTAACCATCAAAAGCCCCAAATCCAAACCTTCTTAGTTCTTCCTCATTCCTTTATATACAGTATTCCTTTACATACAGTCTGTATTTTCATTTGACTTGATTGATTCAATTGCTTTAAGACTGTGATCCTTTAAAATAAGGGATAAGGGATCTATCTTACTACCAAAAGTCTTTCTTCCTTTTTTTTTTAAATCTTTCTTTCTTCCTTCTGTGAATGAGAGAGAAGTACTCCCAGTGGGGCCCTCATGGTGAGCTCTAACCCCAGCTTCAGCCAGCTCTGATTTATGGGCACATGTATGCCTGTCGTGTTCAAAGAAGACCCAAGATGTAAACCCAGAGTCTGCCCATGTGGCTAAGCCTGGCAGAGCATCAAATTGCCACTGTGCTACCCCAGCAGGCCCACAGAAGTCTTTCTATATGTTTATTTGTTTTTAACTATGGTAAAATGCACATAATGAAATTTACCATCTTAATCATTTTTAAGTGGACAGTCAGTAGCATTAAGTACATTCATTAAGTGCATTAATTGTCACTTATTGTACAACTCATCTCCAGAATTTCTTTTTTATCTTGAAGAACTCTGTACCCAATAAACAACAACTACTTATTCTTCCCTCAGCCCAGAACTTGGCAACCACCATTTTATCTTCTATGAATTTGACAACTAATCTAGGTACCTTTTATAAGTGGAATCATACAGTATTTGTCCTTTTGTGACTAGCTTATTACACTTGAATAACCTCATGGTTTATTCAAGTTGTAGCATATGTCAGAATTTTCTTTTTTAAGGCTGAATTATATCCCATAGTATGTACACACCACATTTTGTACATCCATTCATCTCTCCATGGATGCTTGGGTTGCTTCCATCTTTTGGCTGTTGTGAATAAAGCTGCTAAGAATTTGAGTGTAAGCATACCTGTTAGAGATCCTGCTTTTCAGGGTTAGTGAGTATATACCCAGAAGTGGTATTACTGGATCACATGGTAATTCTATTTTTAATTTTTTGAGGAACTGCCAAACTGTTCTCCACAGTGGCTGCACCATTTTACACTCCTGTCAACGCAAGTGTTCCAATTTCTTCATATCCTTGCCAATACTTGTTATTTTCTGCCTTTTTGGATAGTAGCCATCCTAATGAGTGTCAAGTGGAAGAGCAATTTTTATACAGAAATGTTTTGACTACCTTTGTGATCATCTTATTTATGTTTTTAAAACAACACAAACAAAAATCTTCTCATCTTTGCTCCACAATTGTAAGTGGATGGTTGAGTCAGTGATGAAGGTACGAACAGAGAATCCTTGAGAGCAGGCAGCGGGCAGGATGAGTGACCAGCTTCTCTTCTCACCCATTTGATGTGCTTGTGGGAGGAGGGTTGCTCTGGAAGTCTGAAGTTCTGGATTTTCTTCTTTCATTCAGAAAGCCAGTATTTACTGATCAACTTCTTTGCCCTAGGTATTGTTCTCCATGGTACAAGTACATTAAACAAGATGAGGAAGGCTCCTGTGTACCTAGAGTTTACATATTAACAGGGAGAAACAAGTAATAACCAAATAAATAAATAAACCAGATCATTTCAGGCAGAAATAAATGTAGAGTAATAAGGCAAATCACAAGAGCTGAGTCCTTCTATATCAAGCCCTATGATCTAAAGTTTCCTAAAAGTAAAATTGTACACTTACCTTATTGTTATTATTGGAGAGGTTTTTTGCTATAAAGTGCATGTGCTTGCCAGAAAAACAGAGAGAGACAGAGAGACAGAAAATGAGAAATCACCCTCCAGGGGGGATGGCCATGCCGCACTCCCTTCTCCTCCGTTGTCCTCTCAGGATCTTGGGCACACACACACACACCCAGTATGAGTTTAAGCCACCAGGTCCGGGACTCAAACTGTGATCAACTACATGGGAGTCCAGCGACATAGCCATTATGCCAACTGCTGGTCTCAAAATTGTACAATTACCTTTTAAGATTTGTTTAAGGAGCTTGAGACAAGCAGATGGCATCATGGTTACATCGCTGGACTTCCACGTAGTCAACCGCAGTTCAAGTTCCAGAGGCTGCTTGAAACTCACACCGGACACATGTGCATGGGTGCCCAGAATTCCAAGAGGAGAATGGAGGAGAAGGAATTGCACATGACCATCCCCCCTTGGGGGGGCTAATTTCTTGCTTTCTGTTTCTCTCTCTCTGTCTCTCTGTCTGTGTGTATGTGTGTGTTTCTCTGGTGAGAGCACACACCCTATAGCAAAAAATCTCTAAAAAAAAACCCAAAAACCCAGAAAACAAAAAACAAAGATTTGTTTGAGAAGCTCAACAAATATTGATTGAGCACCTACCATGTGCTATCTCTAAAAATTAAACATTCAGGGACCAGTAGATGGCATAATGGCTATGTCGCTGGACTCTCATATAGTCAACCATGGTTCAAGTCCTGGACTTGACTTAAAACTCACACCCAAGATACAAAGAGGAACACGGAGGAAAAGGGATAGTGGCATGGTCATCCCCGCTGAGGGGTGATTTCTCACTTTCTGTTTCTCTGTCTCTCTCTGCCTCTCCAGTGAGCACATGAGCCCTATAGCAAAAATCTCTCTTAAAGAAAAAACAAAGAACAAAACCAAAAAAAACCCCAAAATACTAAACATTCAAATCCCCCTATCTAGATTAGATTTTTTACTCCCTCTTCCTAGCATTCCTCATCATCTTTTAAACAGCCTCTGTGTCTTTGTAAGTGTATCTTCCTACTCTTTTCTTCTCTTAATGTGCATTGGCTTATTAGAGGCTGTTCATATTATGATGGTTAAGATTCCAGGATATGGAAACAGATTGCCTGGGTTTGCATCCTGATTCCTGCCACTTTCTGGTTGTGTGGTCTTGGGTGAATTGTGGGACTTTTCCATGTCTTGGTTTTCTCATCTGGAAAATGAGTAATAAATAATAGTATATACTTCCAATTGTTGTCGTAAGCATAAAAGAGAATCTATGTAAAGCACCTGGCCTATAATAAGCATTCAATTAAGTTTAGCCACAGTTATGAGTACCTATAACAAGGGAATTAAACACATGTCTGTAAACAGGAAATAGTGACATACGTCTCACAGGGTTGCAGTAACATGAAATGAGATTAAACCTCTTATGCACTCAGTAGAGCATGTAACCTTCATTTATTACCCACTCTTTACCATCTCCACCTCCCTCTTCATGCTCCATATCTATAATAACTGTATCCAAGAATATCTTCTTTTTGTACAAATGATCAGCTCCAATTATTGCCCCTCCTTTTCTTGTGGTTGTTATCTCACTTTCCTGAAAACCCATGGTCTATCAATCACCCAGAACAGTCATCCTAGCTGGAATAGGATCCAGTTGCTTCATTTCAGACTTTAAGACTTTACCCAAAGAGAGAAGTATAAACCCACAGCACCCAGTCAGCCCTGAGCTGCTTCACACTGACCTTGATCTCTCCTGCCTTGTTCTTCTGAAAACGAGCCTTCTGCATGGGACCCTAAACTCCCAAGGACTCTGATTTATAATCCTGAGCTCTGACTTTCTATAATCTAGTACCAGAAATCCATGAATGTCAGATACCTGTCTGCACCTAAACTGACTCTGAACCAAGATGGCCTCCAATAACAACTTCCCTGACCCTATCCTATTTAGAAGAACATGCTGAACAATGGGCTTGCTTTGCTCATTTTTTGCAGCTCTTTTTACCCTGATTCTTGCTTCCTTGTCTCCGGTCTCCCACTCACCCCACCCCCCGCCCTGTTATTGTAGCTTGACCTCCACCTTGATTTCAGCTTCCCAGCCACATTTCCCATCTAAACTACCAAATTGTCCTCCCTCTGGTTTTAAATGGAGTCAAATATGTAAAGATGTGTGTGTGTGTGTGTGTGTGTGTGTGTGTGCGTGCATGTATACACATATTTTTTTCCCCTAAACCATAGTACAATGCCTCCTCGGTCTACTCCTTCCTTCCTAAAGCAAATGGTCAGAAATTTTGGCCTTGGCCTTCCATCATCAAGGCCTTTTCACAGGGCTTGTCTTTTTATTACTGATAGGATTTTCAAAACACTTCCAACTTCTCTGCTCACCTGAATAGGCTCCCTACCCTCTGCATTTGAATTATTGCCAATATGTGTGTCAAACTCATCCTAAACAACTTATTAGCCAAGACTCTTCCACATAAACTCTTACTGAGCAGCCGTTTCTGTTGTTTATGAAACGGATCTTCTCCTTAAAACTTTCCTTGAAAGGTCTCGTTTGCCTTCCTTCCTTCTCAGAATCAACATAGATTTTTCCTTTCCATGTCTCTTCCTTCTGTTGTGCACTCCTAGCTATTATGAAAAGCAAAATAGAAAACCTTCCTCCTTTCCTTCATCGAATCTTATTTCTCCCCCTCCCCATTCTTCCTGCTCCTAGCTCCTGTTCTCTGGCTTTTCCTGTCATACTTCATTTTTAAAATTCCATTTTGTAGCTGACTGTTGCCATTAACATGTCCTTGACTTACGCTAGTACAGGGAAATCTGGCCTCAGCAAATACAGATGTCCAGCTCTCTGCTCTGGTAGCACACGTTTCTTCATTAGTTCTTCAAAACCTGTTCCCCATTCTGATCTCCCTGATCATAATGACCTTCAGCTCTGGATCTGTTTTCAGACATTCCGGAATAAGCTATTCAACACAAATAGATGTATTGAACTATGGGCTCTCCACCATGGACTTCAGAGCACGTGATTCAATTCCCAAAATAAACTCAGCATTAGGAAAAAAAGTATTCTTTGGTCTCATTTTTTT